AAGTGTTGCAGTTTGGCAGCAACTTGAGCAGGTTTGTTTGCCTACGGAGCCTTTTGATTCGAAGTGTCGTTAGCGATTCCGCGCACTCAGATTTGTCGATAGATCTGAAACCATGGCATGGAATGGGCAGTGGGACACCAGCACAGGGTACGGGAGGTCCCAACAATCGTGGGGTCAGCACCGCTATCAGCCGTATAGCTCGGGAAGTTGGACTGATCCCAACCTCTCCAAGTCTGCACCTGCTAGTCAGCCACCTCCACTACCTCCGCCTCCTCTTTCTTCGGCACCTTCATCTTCGCCGTCTACTCCCATGCCATGTCATCAAGGTCCTGGTCTTGTTCCTGCACTACCGAATGGATGGGCGTCAGATCGTGATCATTATGATTCAACGGTGCTTCATGGGTTGTCCTTTCGTAAGTCCATCGAAGCCACCCCGTGGTCGCGGAAGAAAGGGATCGCAGGAAAAGACCCACTCAGCATTCCTGTTCAGGAATTCCTGTTTCATGGAGTTTCAGATTGGCGTCTTCGAGCATTGAGTCATGGCAAGTTTTTCAGTGTTGTGCCAGTTGCTACGGTTGCCGAAGCAGTGTTCATGTCGCAAGTGACGAAGAACCTTCGAGATCGCAAAGTTGACATCGATGCAGTTGCTACGCATCTCTTTCAGGCCGCTAATCCATCTACAATCATTCCCAACAAGAACACGGATTGTGCAGCTCTGTTTCAGCCGATGGTTGACAAGATCGTTCAGCTCATGTTTGACAACATGCCGGTGTCTGCAGGCGTCGATCAATCTCAGAAGTTTCTTCAAGTTACGGAAGAGCTCAATCGCCGCCGTGAACAGTTACAAGCCGCAGGACTTCCCGTTACCCCCACGAAACCCGCTTTGAAAACACAGCTCCCGGTTGCCTCGCAATCTAGTGCTCCGTGTCCACAATCCGGGACACCACCGCAGACTTGGGAGAGTGACCTCAAGCGTAAGATCGACAGTGTTCCTGCCGAAGCCCTGAACGATCACAAAGCCCGACTAAAGGGATCAGGAGAGGGGGACGTCGACAAGTGGATCCAGAGCTTCAAACGACCCCTAGGAAAGCGCTTTGTCGATTTTCAAGAACACATTGTGTCTGTCTCCAAGCTTGTGCAGATCAACTATGGAGGCAAGGAGAAAGCAAAACTGCAAGAACTTGCAGTAAAATTCGGGATCTCGGCGACTTTTGCATCTAGAATGGGCATCAAGAGTCTCTCTACGTGCATTGCAGCGGCAGCCTTTCAGGTTGTCTGAATTGCACACAGCCTTGCTTCCAATCAACTCTCCGTAAAGGAGATTCGGTCAGCACATGTTCTTATTACAGAGGTTGGCAAGTTCATGTCGTTTGTGATTCAATTCATTCCGCATGTGGACAAAGTGATGGCCATTTGGTTGCAAGGTTTTTGTCATCTGATTCTACTGTTCCATTACTCCAGGGGTACTTCGCCAGAACAACGGCTGCTTGAAAAATTGCGCAAAGCTGGAGTCACGCCGTCTGATTACACGTTCACACGGTTCCAGAGTCCTTGTGCAGTTTATTTGAAAGCCCCCGTGTCCTGGAGTACGCGTTCTTCGTTCAAGCAAAGAGACCGATGGATGTATGTGGGAAGTACTTCAATTACTATTTCGAAGCGTGAATTCAACCGACAATCCAAACTCAAGCAAGTTCTCCGTGAGCAATATGTTCAAGTTGAACCGGCCATTCGTATTTGGGCTTCGCTGGGCAGCTATTTCGACTTTTCTACGCTTTGTCTGTCTGTTCATGATGACTACAAACAAGCGTGGGTGCAAGAGCATGTCCTTATTGATCGATGGCAACCCAGATTGAATTCACCGTTCATTGACCGTTTCTTCATTAAGTCTGCATTGGGATTCAAGAGACTCAGGCCACGTCCATCTCTTAAGAATGTTTCATTGTTTTCCAGACTTTGGGTCAAAGTTCGAAGACGTGCTGCTTCAACAAGTACTCCGATTCGATGTTTGATGGACAAAAGCCAAGCGTGGTCGCTCTTGTACGATTTGGCATCGTTGACCTCGGCATCTTTCTCTGCTGCGAAAATTGTCAGATCTGCCAAAGTCTCGACGTTAGAGTTGTACGCGATGTTCCGCATGGCCAAGATCATGGAGCAACCTTTCAGATCTAGAGTGGTACAGCTGCTCAAGTCTGCGTTGAAGTTTCGTAACTGCTCTGTACCCCGACCCAACAAGTCAGTCACTTTACCATTTCTGTCTCACCCCACTTTTGCTGCCCATGTCTCTTCTTTTCTGTCTCATACCATTCAGCAGTTCAAAGGCATTTGCATCCCGTTTCACCTCCCCTCTAAGACGCCGAGAGAGTCTGCTCCTCAATCGTTGGGCTCCATTCTTCACAATCACTTTGAGTGGGAGAAGAAGCTTGCTGATACAGCAGTTGATCACCTTCCATGCAGATGCCAACAATTTCAGCAGCAGCACCCCAATGTGGACTTGGTGGAT